CACACTTCGACCTTCATATTTTTCCTTCTTCTGTTTCATGACCAGTCTTCCTATGGCCCTGGATTTTCATTTCTCATATGCATCTACTTAAATGAATTCTCATTTTATTTAGTGTGTTTTAAAAAATGAAGTTCAAAAAGAAAAAGTTATTTAAAAAATATCTATTGAGCATTAACAGAAGGTAACGTGCTAGGTACAGATTAGGTTCTGACAACTAGGCTGTGATGGTGAACTGAAACAAGCTTAGGATACAAGTCAAGAGAGGAATCATCCAGTTTGCCACTAAAGAGAGCGTATGGGCTCAAATAGAATATTTACTAACCCGTATTCAGAAACAGTGTGTGAAACAAAATGGATCAAGGTCAAGTCCCAGGGAAGAGTGGGACCAGGAAGAAGGCTGTCCAGAGGGAAGAGGAAGTCTCCACCTGGAGAGGTGGGCACACCAGGGCAGGGACATCAAACCCACTTTAAATTGTCCCTTTCCATCTGATCTTGGTTTAGAAGTTACCCTTTTAAAGCAAAGCAAAATAGATTCCTAGAGTGTATCAACACCACACTGAAATATTAAGTGCTATTCTTTTTCATATGGCCTAAGGCCTCTTGTGGTTCCCTTTCCCTTTTGTTTTTCTAATTTAAATTTTATTTTCAATTAAAGTTTACATTCAATACTATTTTGTATTAGTTTCAGGTGTATAACATAGTAGTTAGACAATCATATACTTAACAAAGTGATTCCCCTGATATTTGCAGTACCCACATAGTTATTCCAATATTATTGACTACTAGAGGCCCAGTGCATGAAATTCATGCAAGAGTAGGCCTTCCTGCCCCCAGCTGCCAGCATCGGCTTCCCTGTCAGCACCAGCTTCCCTCTTCCCTTCCCCCTGTGTCTGCCAGCAGGAACCTGGGACTCAGGCTTCCCTCACAGCCCTAGATTCGTCCAGATGGATGGAAGGATGTCCGGAAGGATGTCTAGTCTAATTAGCATATTATGCTTTCATTATTATAGATATTCCCTGTGCTGTACTTTCTTTGTGAGATACAAATGCTCACGAAGAAATGTAAATATTAAGAAAGCTGCCCATTATGTTCTTTGAACATATAATGATATTGGTTACCACTTTAGAGACTGCTTTATGTGTTTCCTCATAAAAACATTATTATTATTCCCATTTTAGAAATAAGGAACTAACTCCCAGAGTGGATAGCTGTGAACTTGCAGAGCTAGGCTGTTTTGCTTTCAAATTCTTTGTCCTTAATACTTTTCTTCAGGGAAAAGTTCTAAGAATCCCAATATTATTAAAATTTAGGTTCAATATCTGGGTAAGAGGGGGCCCAGAACCCTAAGTGCTCTTAGAAACACCCCAAACCCATCTCTCCCCATCTCTCCACCGCCTGTTTGCATTAAGATCCTGCTTCCCTTCCATGTCCTCTCTCATGGTGCAGTTTTCACTTCTACAATCCACAGGCCTTTCTCATTCAAAAGGCCTTCTCAATGAATACAGTTTGTCAAGGAAGATTTTTAAATTTTACATTATTTCTCACCTTAAAAGACACATGGCAAAATTATTCACAAGACTGATGCCATGACAAGAAATTGGGGTAAATAAGCCTCCATCAATTTACAAGTGAATATTTTATGTTTTATCTCTACTATTAAAATACACAAATGAGTCTCATTAATTGAATTTGAATTTATACTGATAGTTGCTAAAATAGAAACAAATATTTTAAAAGATATGCCTTTTTTATCACAATAATAGTTCCTGTTTAAGTGGGGAACCTAATTTAGAATGGAAGTTAAAGTTGAAATAAGTATTGTTGACAAGAGTATGCCTTCATTATAATTTCTCTTATTTTTACCCTCAAGTTTTCACTTTGAAAAGTATCAAACGGCAGAAAATTTAAGAATAGTAATATCAATATCTACATACCCTTCACATATATTCACCAATTAACATTTTGCCTTTGCGTTACCTATGGTAATAGATCAATCTATTCTAATTTATCCTATTTTTTTATGCTGAACCACCTGAAAATAAGTTATAGATATTATAATGTGTTAATTCTTTAATTCTTTAACATTCATTTCCTGAGAATAAGGATATCCTCATATACAACTAGAATGCCATTAACATAACAAAACTGTTAACAGTGATACTATAAAATTATCTAATTTGAAGTCTATATTCAACTTTCTCTCTTTTTTCCAGTAGAGTCTTTTATAGATTGTTGTGTTTTATTGTTAGTTAGTTAGTTTGTTTGTTTCTTTTTTATCCACCATCTAATGAAGGATCATGTGTGGAGTTAAGTTTTCAAGTCTCTTTAGTCTCTATAATCTAGAACAGTCTCCGACTTTTGTTTTATTTTATAACATTGATATCCTTGTAGATGGCAGGCAATTGTTTCCAAATCTGGACATGTCTGATTGTTTCCTGATCATTAAACTCAAGTTAAATATTTTTGGCAGTAATTCTACATAGGTAGTAGTACTGAGTACTTCTTCTTTTTCCCATATCTAGAGATTCATAATGTCAGTTTGCCCCATTATTGCTGATACTGAGTTTGTTTTCTTGCAAGGTTAAGGCCATAGCCACTAGGGTTCTTCATTGTGAAGATATCATTTGCTCTTTGTAATTAACAAGTCATCTACCACCTCTGCTTTGGAAAAGATGGCACAGACTCTCAGCTCCTCCCCCTAAATACAACTATAAACCTTGGAAATAATGCAAAAGGCAGCCAGAGCAGTTTTATGCTGTGAAAATGTAAAGAGGAAGATGGAATGGCTAGGGATCTGACGACTGGAGGAACAACAGTGGCCAGCAACGTATGATTCTCCCACCAACAGCATAAGGCAAACTAGGCTTGGCATTTCCCAACCCCAAACTAGCAAGAGGAGGTGGTGGCCTTGATAAGTTCATTTCCCCCCTAATCAAACAGGCGTCCTGCTGGCCTCACTGGCAGAGCCTGGTTGCACTGGCCAAGGAATTGACACAGTCCCACTCACAAGAAAGGGTCAGAGGACATACTGTCCTTTCCTGCCAGAATTGAGACTCCTCTTCCCCACTGAAGACAGCGGGCAGTTAAGTGCCTTTTACTCGACAAAAAGACACAAGTAAGAGGGATCCCTCCACAACAAAGCTTGACATGGGAATCCTTTATGTCCCCACAGCCAGACATTCCCTTTATCTACCTTGAGGCACCAGATGCACAACCTGAAGATGCTCCTTTTGTCCTCTCAGGCAATACCAGCAGGTACACTGGGACCACAGCAACACCAGATAGCCCAAGCAGACTAAAATAGCACTTCAAGAGCTCTGAAGCTGTCCCTGGAACCACAAGTTACAAAAGTAAGCCAGGTGGCTGCCTTTTAAAATAAAAGATATGAATAGGCCCCAGACACTCTTAAAATAATAGTCAAATTGTGCAAATCACATTATACGAAGAACCAGGAAAACCACACCTTACATGAGAAAAGATAGTCAACTAATGCCAACATTAGGATGAATCAGATGATGGAATTATCTGGCAAAGAATTTAAATGCATGTGTTTCCTAAAATAGAGTCAGAAGGTGAAGTGGCATCATTCTCACATCAGACATTAGATTACAATATGCGATTGACTTTCTTCAGTGAACATGCAACTCCCACAATTTGCTCTGATCATGTCAGCATCGCTGAAACCCTCAGCCATCTTAGTTTACAACAGTGGTTCTCAACCTTCCTAATGCCGCGACCCTTTAATACAGTTCCTCATGTTGTGGTGACCCCCAATTTCATTGTTACAAATTGAACATAATTAAAGCATAGTGATTAATATAAAAAACAATATGTTATTATATATGTGTTTTCCGATGGTCTTAGGCAACCCCTGTGAAAGGGTCTTTCGACCCCCAAAGGGTCGCGACCCATAGGTTGAGAACCGCTGGTTTACAGCTTTGAACTTTATTTTGGATTCTTTCCATTAAATCTAATTAATCCTGCTTTTTAAAAAATCATAAAAATGCTTCAACAAGCAATTATAAGTTCCCTTGAAACAAATGAGAACACCAAATATCAACAAATATAAATACTGACAAAGAACCAAGTGAAATTTATGTAACTGAAACAAAATATAAAAACTTGTTAAATGGACCCAGATTGGAAATGACAGAGTATAGAATTTTTTAATGAGGACAGATCTATAGAATTTATCCAAAATGAACACCAGAGAGAAAATAGACTAAAACTTATGTATATGCCCAATCAAAATTTCAGCAGATTATTTTGTGAATATGAACTAACTGATTCTAAAGTTTGTATAGAGCGGTAAGAGACCCAGAACGGTGAACAAATTATTGAAAGAGAAGAACAATATTGGAGAACTGATATTGTCTTACTCTAAGACTTACTATAAATCCACAGTAACCAAGACAATGTATATTGGCAAAAGATTAGGGAATGGGACAGAAAAGAGAGGCCAGATAGCCCAGAAATATAGTAAACTAATCTTTGACAAAGGAGGCAAAGCAATCCAATGGAGCAAAGGTAGCCTTTTCTACAAATGGTGCTGGAACAACTGGCCATCCACATGTAAAAAAAAAAAAAGAAGTCTAGACAGAGACCTCACACCCTTCACAAAGTTTAACTCTAAATGGGTCATAGACCTAAATGTAAAATGTAAAACTAAAAAACTTCTATAAGAAAATAAGAGATAACCTATATGACCTCAGGTGTGGCAGTGAATTTTTAGGTATAACACCAAAGGCACAATCCATGAAAAAAAAAATATAAGCTGGACTTCATTAAAATGAACACTTGAGAAATGAGGTACCAAAGGATGTCTATGAAAGAAGACAGGCTCTGTATTTTTATTATACTTGGGGAAAATTTTAATAAAATGTCCATAAATTTGCATGGCAAAATAATGGAATGAAATGTGATTCTCGATTTTCTTCACTCACCACAGCTAATGCATCATGTCATCATCGTTGAAAGTTAACACTTAAATATTTCTTCAGCTTAAAGGTGGAACCCAAGACCAAGGGATTAAAACAACAGCAACAGCAACATAAGAAACTGCTGGCAGCAATGCTCTCTCAAGATTCTTTTGAGTCTATTCACAGCCCTACCCCACCTGTAACAGAAGAAGATATTGATAATGAAGATGATGCAATGGAATTGCTGGGTAATTTTAAAAATTAATAATTTCTCTTTTTATTCTTCTTTGGCATTGTAAAATGTATGGTGATTAAGAGACTTTAAGAGTTTTGAATAGTTTTGTCTTAGGGGAAAGAGCTTAACACACATTTTATTTACATTAGACTTTTATGAAGTTGCATCTAAGAGCTAAGTTGAAATCACCTAAGCATGACAACTATTAGACTGTACTTTGTGTTTTATATATGCAGCTCTTTGCCTTCTAACTATTTAATCAAGCTTTATTCTGTGTGCAATTGTGATATTCAGTTGTTTGCTTTATTCTCTGATTATAATTGCCTTGATTACAGCTTTTGTCTATAAAATGTATCCAAAGTACATATTTCAATCCTCATCCTATATGTCCCCTGTTATTTAAGAATGTTTCATAAAAATAGGTTAAATTTAAAGAGGCAGAGAGTAAAACTAATGCTTTATATCTTCCATAAATGACAGAAAAGTTGAAATGTAGACATTTCAGTTTTTAACTTTTTCATAGGCCCATTATTTTCATAAAAACATTATTAATGTTGTATATGTAAGAAATCCTTTTATGTCTATTGATGAAGTAAATGTATGTTTCTGTGTCATCAGAAATATTTTTGTAGTAACTTTAAAAACTTGAACTTCCCTTTGGAAAACCATTTTTTCCAAAAGAAGGAATGAACTTTTATTTCAGAGAAAGTGATCCACATATAAAACAACATTTTTGTCAGTGATAGCAATTATTCTATTCCAAATAATTAGAGCAATTTTAAATACTTTGTAACAATATACTAGTAAGAGAATAAGTCTAGTCGTTTGAAAGCTTTAAATAAGTTTAACATTTAAAATATGGAGTCCCAGAAATATGCATATATTTAATTTTTTTTCTTATACCAGATTCTTTGGTTTCAAGTATTTATGACAGTAAAACACTATCATTATGATAAGTGATGATGGTTTCTTTGCATTGGCCTACAGAGGTGTTATTTAGTCGGTGATAGCAGGCTCACTGATGTTTTCTGATGTTATAATACCTGCATTTATTCTAGCATTGAGGAGACTATATCATGGTATTTTCACCTCAAGCTGTTGGTCTCTCTCTCTCTCTTTTAAAAGAACAATTAAGCCTCGGTGCTTTTTAAGGAGTCTTCTCTTCCCCACCTCCAAATCATTACTGTGGCAGATGTGCAGGATGTGGTGGTCAGACCTTTTTCAATTAATTTCCATTCAACAAGTATTTACTGAGCACTTACTATGTGCTAGGCAGTGAGTCCTGGGGACATAAAAATAAAATAATCACGGTCTCTGTTTGCTAGAACTTTACCTTCTAGTGTTCAAGATAAAAATGTAAATACATCACTCCAGGAGTGTTGCTGCAGGTCTAATTTGATTAAGGATACAGCTGTCTATAGGGAGAATCCCCAATGCAGGAGTAGGGGACGGCGATCAGGGAATATTTCCTAAAGAAACTGATTGTTCTGGTGAGTCCCGGGATGCATCGTAGGCAGGCAGAGTGCCATCATTCCCCTTGTAGGTTTACTCTGGTGGGAATGGACTCTTTGCATTTATGCCCCAGGACAGTGCTTATAAATTGTTCTCTGCTTTGGTCAGTAACAATGAATCGACATTGGATTGTGCCAATATCTTCCTCTCTCTATCCTTTCCTGTAAATGACAGCTCATCGTCAGCTAATGTCCACATGAAGGCAACTGTAGCCTGCCACAAGAATCTTTTGAAGAAACGCAGGCTCAGAATCACTGTAGGGTTACTGATAGCCTCAGGAGTTCAGAGGAGATCACAGAACTTCGGTGGTATCTCAAGGGATTCTTTAAGGGATTCTTTAAGGAAATGCTGATGTCCACTCAGTGCTGGTGCCCCCTAGATGTCAGCTGCTCTGTTATCAAGTGACTGGTCTCCCAAGCTGAAGACCAGAGGATTGGGTTTTGACTACCTAACGTGAGCAACTAATAGCTGGTCCTCATTAATTTTTTTTTCATTTAGACATTTTAGCAAATTTAATCATAAGAGATAGTCAAAGGACTTGGCCTTTCTTCCTGTAATTCTACATGTCTCAGCACAGATGGCTGGTGGTATATTAATGCTGATCTCCACATGCTCCAAGTCCATTAGTCTATCCCCTAAAATAATGCCATACGCAGCTTTCCCTGTTGCCTACTTGTCTCCGTGAACAAAGGTGATATAGCAGAAAATTCAGTCCAAAAGATGGTTTTACCCAGAAAGTTCATCTACTAAATAAAATGTCATTTGAATATGAAATATGTTTGATTAAGGCCCAAATATTTGTACCCACTAATATAATTTAATTATTTTTAAAATACATATTTAAAATATAAACTCAGAGTTTTCTTCAAAAGTAACTAGTATATATAAATTCATTACATACGATGTTACTTATGTCTAACTAAGGTAATGGCTCATCTTTTATATGAAATTAAACAAATGTACATGATAATTTCAGTTAACACAAGAAGTAAGAATTTTTTTCAGTCATGATACAAGGACAGGTTAATATGCCAAGTATGGATATAGCATAAAATAGTTCTTATTTATTTTAGGACTTGACATCTTGGGTAGCCATGTATATCTCTTAATATTTCAATGAAATCATTGGTACAATACTCCTAAATCTATTTAGAAACTATAAAAATCTACCTTCCTAGTCCTTTTAATATTAGATTTCCATCATTTTGTTTATTATAGAATTTTAAGACAATATTTTTGAAACTCTGCTTCTAAAGAAACATCTGATTATATTTATTTGAAACAAATTCAAATGCTAAGTTCTTGAAAATTTCATGAAGTATAATTGTAGTACATAGAATCAAGTGTAAAATTAAACAGAGACATCTGGTACTTAAAATATCTTTTTTTAGCTACCATGTTTTGTAGAATGGTTTAGCTCTAGCTTACGTGTTTTAGGGTTTAAATTGTCATTATCTATACCATGATTTAACAGGTTGAATTTTTATTTATTATGCATGTGAAGCACTCTGTAAACTTTTTGAAGTGATAAATAAGTAAAAGGTATAATGATTAGCTTACATTAATATATAAATAATTATTCCTTAGCAAAACTGATTGATCGGAAGGGTTTTTGGAAAAAGGTTTTTAGTTGAAGTAGTAAACTTTAACAAAACTATTAATCCTGGTTTTGTTTATTACGAAATCTAGCATTGTTAATATATACTAATATCTCTACAGTTTGGTTGCATTTTTGTGGATTTATTTTCTAAATGTATTGGGTATATGAAAAAAAATTTAATACACCATTTATAATTTTTTATGTAGTTTAAATATTTTCTGTAGGATTGCTTTAAATAATACTTATAAATTCATAGTATATAAGACAATTAATATGGGATTACTATAATCAGAGAATAACATCAAAATTTGTGGAGTGTAAGATATAATAATTTTAATCACTTCTGAATTTGGTACTCTGATTACAGAAGAAATTGAATAAAATATCTCCGTGTCACCTTAAATTAAATAACTTTCACTTCAAATATAAGATATTCTCAGTTATTTTAGTAATTGTGCTAGAAATTAATGACTACAATGAGTAAGCCATAATAAAACATTTTCATGCTTTTTAAGTTATTAAAATAAGTAATTTTCAAAAATGGAAAGACAAGTTACAGTGGTAAATATATAAAAACCTTTATGTATTTTATTTTACTGTTTTTTACAGAAAATTTGAGGGACTTCATTTGTTTCAAAGATTTCACTTTGTGAATATGAGCCCATTTTCATCGTGTTACATGCATTTTTCCTCTTATTTTTTATGAAATGCTAATTGTAATACATATTTGTTCTTTGCATAATTTATACTCATTAAAATATCATTAGAATTATTTGAAAGATACTACTTTTCTTACACATTTTAGTATGGGTTATTACTCTTTAAAAATTTTTATGCTTTCTCAGAATTGATGATGAGGCTAATATCTAAAAATCACATGCAGGAAGAACTAAAAAGAAAAAAAACAGGATTAGTCATGCTTTATACTTTCTAGTCATAGGTCACAGTCATCTAAAAATTAAAACTAAAGTTATATTACCAAAACATACAAGGTGCTTAAAAATGTATTTTATTTGTTATAAATTTAATAGTTAAGAACAAGCATAATTGTACAGTACTTGTATTCTTTGCAGAATATAGTAATTGAGTTTCTAAAAAACTCAGTATATTACCACATTCTGTAAAATATAAACTTTATTTTCTGGAGGCACTCATGACATCAAAATGATCCTTTGGCAAATTCTTCTGCATTTTTTTAAAGTAAACATTCACTCTGCTTTTTGTTTTTAATTGGAGACTTCTTAAAATAGACAGTACCCGTTTTTGCAAAATAGCATGCATTTTACCTAATGAGAAATGGGTGCTGTCACTCTATTTTGTTCACGGGGGTGAGGGCCTTAATGAAAACAATAATCTATCTAACTACCTATTGTCTACCTGTATTTTAATGGTCTAAAGTGTGTGAAATAGACTGGAGCACATGGGAACATAGATACACACGTTGTTTCCTTTGAGAATCACTCATTGGGCGTATCAGGGCAACATAAATGTTATCACTTTTAAAATGTAGATTTTTTTGTAGAAAAGATTCTGTTAAAATGGATGAAGACTTCCAGAATTAAATGTATGGATACTTTAAGTTGTCTGTAAGATTGCTTTAAATGTTACTTAGAAATCCATTCATCATAGTATGAAAATAACTTAGTGTGGAATTAGTACATGTTGGAGATTAAAATATCTAAATTTGTGTGATGTCAAAATAAAATAATTTTGAGCACCACCGAGTTAGTGCTCTAAGTCTAGAACATACTGAATAACTTATCTTCCAAATCACCTGCATCTAAGTAAACCTCATTTTTAAATATAAGATATTCTCACAAATGTCAGTAGTTATACTGGTAAGTAATGACCACAATTAATTAAATATTATAGAAAATCTGCATATGTATTTTTAAATGTTC